ATATATATATATATATATATATATATATATATATATATATATATATATATATATATATATATCTTTCTTTCAAATAAACCTTAGAGCTAGCGAGGTCTCACTGGGATTTTGTCGTACAGTTTTCATCAACGTTCTGAATGGATATCAATTCTCTTAGAAATATGCAGCAAAGAATGACAAAGTTAATCCAATGCGTCAAGGACCTTTGTCTTTACCGATCATAAGCACCAACCTAACTTTCCTTTGAAGGGCTTAGCACAAGGGGAGATATGACTGAAGTTTACAAGTGGATGAAAGGCATAGCACGAAGGAAGATATAAATGATATATTCAAGTGGGTGAAAGACTGAACTTTAGGGGAGCTAAGACTGAAGTATACTATTAGATGAAAGGTATAGCACAAGGGGGGAGATATGACTGAAGTACATAAGTGGATGAAGGACCCAACTTAAAGGGGAGATTGGACTGAATTATACAAATAAATGACATATACAGAAGTGATATACTGGATACAAATTAGACCTTCCTCGCTTGGGCCAGCTGTATATAGTGATTTCTTAGGGTGTTAAGCATGTATAAATTCCAGCATACATCAACACGGTTGCATTTATGATGGTTGCTCCGATATGCATATGCATTCAATATACAGCAACGTGTGTATATTTATGCCTATTCTGATATGCATATATTCTTGCGTACACTAACACGCATATATGCATGCATTCATTGATGAATATACTAACACGTATATGTTTTATGCTTACTCCAATATGCATACTCTCATGCATACACTAACAAGCACAAATACATTCATACCCCAACATACATATTTTCACATACATACAAACATACATACATATATACATACATATGTGCATAATATACACATGTAGTGTACGAATCATTCCATTTAACAGCCAAGGAGATTTTGATTCTTTTCAAATATTTCTTTCGAAATAATTCCCCCCCCCCTTATATATATAAGGGGGGGAATTATATAATGGAATTATATAATGTATAATGTCTTAATGTATTTTAAATCAAAATGACATATTCGACAAAAGCAAGTAAGTCAACTGGAGAGGGGAGCCGGCGGTGCCCTGGTGCCGGAAGCTCGTGTATCTTTACTATATATATTGTCTTCATCACTGTAACCGTGTTTACTATACAGTGTGTCCGTCACTGTACCCGTTCTTCGCCATTATAACCGTCTTCAATGCACACTATCATCTATCTCCCCGTCTAACATCTATCACTGAATCTCTATCTTCCTCTATCTCTCTATGTTTCTGTCTCACTATCTTTCTATATCTCGTTCTCTTATACCGCTATATCTTTATCTCTTTATGGCTATAACTTTATATCTCTCAACAATATTTATGGTACTTTTTACCGAACTATTCTCAGTTCATAACGTTAAAGTAGCGATAAAGCCTACGGACATTACGCCCCAGATTCCACTATGACCGCGCAATTTAATGAAAATCGCACCTGTGGGCAGTGTTACAAGGCTCATATTTCTTAAAGCATGTAACTTAGGCCTACCTCGACTAGCCCATGTCCGTCCCGAAACCCAGACCATTCACCCTTGTGTGAGGTTAGCCCCTAGCGTCTGGCCTCCTTCTCTGAATTGATATTCATACAGACATGTGTTCTATTTCAGTACAGATATTTGGGTGCAAAGCTTGAATGGTGCCCAAATTATGTAATCACTGTAGACTCTACGATCCCTCAAGGATTCGAACTTAGGCGGCCAAGGTTTCCCAATGGCTGGAGTAGTTGTTAAAGTGCTCGACAGCTATTGAGTAGATCCTAGTTTCGAATCCTTGAGGGGTCATATAATTTACAGTGATACATACAAATGCAAGCTTAGGACTCCTTCCTCCATGTCAGATAAGCTGTGAATCACAATAATGTGTGTGTGTGTGTGTGTGTGTGTGTGTGTGTGTGTGTGTGTGTGTGTGTACTCACCTATTTGTGCTTGCGGGGGTTGAGCTTTGGCTCTTTGGTCCCGCCTCTCAACTGTCAATCAACTGGTGTACAGATTCCTGAGCCTACTGGGCTCTATCATATCTACATTTAAAACTGTGTATGGAGTCAGCCTCCACCACATCACTGCCTAATGCATTCCATCCGTTAACTACTCTGACACTGAAAAAGTTCCTTCTAACGTCTCTGTGGCTCATGTGAGTACTCAGTTTCCACCTGTGTCCCCTTGTTCGCGTCCCACCAGTGTTGAATAGTTTATCCTTGTTTACCCGGTCGATTCCTCTGAGGATTTTGTAGGTTGTGATCATGTCTCCCCTTACTCTTCTGTCTTCCAGTGTCGTAAGGTGCATTTCCCGCAGCCTTTCCTCGTAACTCACGCCTCTTTTTCTAGTCTAGTGGCATACCTTTGGACTTTTTCCAGCTTCGTCTTGTGCTTGACAAGGTACGGGCTCCATGCTGGGGCCGCATACTCCAGGATTGGTCTTACATATGTGGTGTACAAGATTCTGAATGATTCCTTACACAGGTTCCTGAACGCTGTTCTGATGTTAGCCAGCCTCGCATATGCCGCAGACGTTATTCTTTTTATGTGGGCTTCAGGAGACAGGTTTGGTGTGATATCAACTCCTAGATCTTTCTCTCTGTTCGTTTCATTAAGTACTTCATCTCCTATTCTGTATCCTGTGTTTGGCCTCCTATTTCCACCACCTAGTTTCATTACTTTGCATTTACTCGGGTTGAACTTCAACAGCCATTTGTTGGACCATTCACTCAGTCTGTCTAGGTCATCTTGTAGCCTCCTACTATCGTCCTCAGTTTCAATCCTCCTCATAATTTTTGCATCATCGGCAAACATTGAGAGAAACGATTCTATACCCTCTGGAAGATCATTTACATATATCAGAAACAGTATAGGTCCAAGGACTGACCCCTGCGGTACTCCACTCGTAACGTCTCGCCAATCTGAGACCTCACCCCTCACACTGACTCGTTGTCTCCTGTTACTTAGGTATTCCTGTATCCAACGGAGTACCTTCCCTTTCACTCCAGCCTGCATCTCCAGTTTTTTCACTAGCCTCTTGTGTGGCACTGTGTCAAAGGCTTTCTGACAATCCAAAAATATGCAGTCTGCCCACCCTTCTCTTTCTTGCCTTATTTTTGTTGCCTGGTCGTAGAATTCAAGTAACCCTGTGAGGCAGGACCTGCCATCCCTGAATCCATGTTGATGCTGTGTTACAAAGTTCTTTCGCTCCAGATGTTCCACTAGCTTTCTTCGCACAATCTTCTCCATCAACTTCCATGGTATGCAGGTTAGGGACACTGGTCTGTAATTCAGTGCCTCCTGTCTATCCCCTTTCTTGTATATCGGGACTACGTTAGCTGCTTTCCAAATTTCTGGCAGTTCCCCTGTTGCCAGTGATTTGTTATACACCATGGAGAGCGGGAGGCACAGTTCTTCTGCTCCTTCCTTTAGTATCCAAGGGGAGATTCCATCTGGACCTATAGCCTTTGTCACATCCAATTCTAGTAAACACTTCCTTACTTCCCCGCTGGTAATCTCAAACTCTTCCAGTGGTTCCTGGTTAGCTATTCCCTCTCTTATCTCTGGGATTTCTCTTTGCTCCAAGGTGAAGACCTCCTGGAATTTCTTATTCAGTTCCTCACACACTTCCTTGTCGTTTGTAGTGAATCCTTCTGCCCCTAACCTTAATTTCATAACCTGTTCCTTTACTGTTGTTTTTCTCCTGATGTGGCTATGCAGCAATTTAGGCTGAGTCTTTGCCTTGCTTGCGATGTCATTTTCGTATTGTCTTTCTGCCTCTCTTCTCATCCTAACATATTCATTCCTGGCATTCTGGTATCTTTCTCTGCTCTCCAGTGTCCTGTTATTCCTATAGTTTCTCCATGCCCTTTTACTTTGCTGCTTAGCTAGCCTACATCTCTGATTAAACCATGGGTTTCTCATCTTCATTTCACTGTTTTCCTTTTGGACTGTGACAAACTTGTTTGCTGCATCCTTGCATTTTTGCGTGATGTATTCCATCATATCTTGGGCCGTCTTTTCCCTGAGCTCTGTTTCCCATGCTATATCTGCTAGGCATTTTCTTATCTCCTCATAGTTTCCCTTTCGGTATGCTAACCTTTTGGTTTCGGTATCCCTTCTCGAGTTCAATAACCCTTCTTCAATCAGGTACTCAAACACCAATACACTGTGGTCGCTCATTCCTACTGGGTCCTCAAAACTGATTTCTCTTATGTCAGAGTCGTTCAGGGTGAAAACCAGGTCGAGTCTCGCTGGTTCGTCGTTTCCTCTCATCCTTGTGGGTTCACTGACATGCTGGGTTAAGAAGTTTCTAGTCGCCACCTCCAGTAGTTTGGCTCTCCACGTATCCTCGCCTCCATGCGGTTCCTTGTTCTCCCAATCAATCCTGCCGTGATTGAAGTCCCCCATGATGAGCAGGTGGGATCTATTTCTACAGGCAGAAGAGGCTGCCCTCTCAATTATAGTGTTAACTGCCATGTTGTTGCTTTCGTACTCTTGACTGGGTCTTTTGTCATTTGGTGGAGGATTATATATTACTGCTACTACTATCCTTGGTCCTCCCATTGTCATGGTGCCTGCTATGTAGTCTCTGAAACCCTCACAGCCCGGGATAGCCATCTCCTTAAAACGCCATTCCTTTCTCATGAGTAGGGCCACTCCTCCTCCTCCCCTACCTTCCCTCTCTTTCCTTATTATTGTGTACTCCTGGGGAAACACGGCATTCGTTATGATTCCAGAGAGTTTTGTTTCAGTGAGTCCAATTACATCTGGGTTCACTTCTTGGGCTGTGTGTGTGTGTGTGTGTGTGTGTGTGTGTGTGTGTGTGTGTGTGTGTGTGTGTGTGTGTGTGTGTGTGTATAATTGTACATATCAATATACATACATGAACAAAATATTAATCTATATCAATGTATATATATGAAACAAAATTTAATGTTTACAGTACATGCATTTATTTCAACAGGTGGCGAAGTGAAAATGCCTTCAAAGATGCTACTTTACCTGACTATCACCATCCTGCTCAGTCGAGGTATGTGCTACTTTGTGTCTTTTGTGGGTAAGGGAGACTTATTGTACTTTATAGTTTGAACAGGGAACGTTCTGTAGCGTGTTACGTGACGGCGCAAGTTATGTAGGGAACTCTCGTTTGAGTGTTACTTTGCTGTGCTCCTGGTGCACGGAGCGCTGCTAGGGGTGTTAGATTAGTGTACTCTTTAAGTATTGAGCGCTAGTTTGAGTGCTACTTTGCTGTATTAAACGTGTAAGGATCGCTCATTTCGTGTGTTACGTTACTGTGCTCCTTGCACAGGGAACGCTCATTTAGTTGCTTCATTACTGGGCTCTCTGTGTAGGGAGCTCTCATTTTGGGTGCTACTTAACGCTGCTCCTTTTGTAGGGAGCGCTTATTAGGTCCTCTATGTTCTAGTGCAAGTCTGTTTCCTGGTGGCCACAACATCTGGCTACTTGTCTTAAATTAAAATAGTAATACTTATTGAACAACTTCACTTGTATATATATATATATACATATATATATATATATATATATATATATATATATATATATATATATATATATATATATATATATATATATATATATATATGTAAATGCATATAAGAACTCACACACACACACACAATTATATATATATATATATATATATATATATATATATATATATATATATATATATATATATATATATATATATATATATATATATATATGTCGTACCTAGTAGCCAGAATGCACTTCTCAGCCTACTATGCAAGGCCCGATTTGCCTAATAAGCCAAGTTTTCCTGAATTAATATATTTTCTTTAATTTTTTTCTTGTGAAATGATAAAGCTACCCATTTCATTATGTATGAGGTCAATTTGTTTTTATTGGAGTTAAAATTAACGTAGATATATGACCGAACCTAACCAACCCTACCTAACCTAACCTAACCTATCTTTATAGGTTAGGTTAGGTTAGGTAGCCGAAAAAGTTAGGTTAGGTTAGGTTAGGTAGGTTAGGTAGTCGAAAAACAATTAATTCATAAAAACTTGACTTATTAGGCAAATCGGGCCTTGCATAGTAGGCTGAGAAGTGCGTTCTGGCTACTAGGTACGACATATATATATATATATATATATATATATATGACATTGTCAGACCACGGAGGAAAATTGAAATAGGAATTTTCTTAAGTACTTTCGTATATTATTACACTCCTCCCGAAGTGTATTAATATACGAAAGTACTTAAGGAAATTCCGGTTTCAATTTTCCTCCGTAGTCTGACAGTCACGTTTGTATTCACGTGTTTATTTTCGTGATACACACACACACACACACACACACACACACACACACACACACACACACACACACACACACACACACACACACACATATATATATATATATATATATATATATATATATATATATATATATATATATATATATATATATATATGTACTGCCATTGAACCTGCCATTGGACGACTCTCAGTGGGAGCAAGCAACCCTTTCTGTAAGACTCGGCGGCCTTGGTGTCCGCACAGTCTCCCAAATTGCTCTACCAGCCTTCCTTTCCTCCTCCCATGCATCGCACGACCTCGTCAGATATATTTTATCTGCAACCCTGAGAGATTCAGCAAGAATACACGATCCTGCTTTCACTGAATGTTCAAATCAGTGCGATGTTCTTGCAGCCCCAGCCACCATTATAGAGCCAACAAAACAACACAAACAGTCCCGCTGGGACCACCCTCTAGTGGAAAAAGTAGCTGATGCCATGCTCAGCGCCGCAACATCAGACAAGGAGAAAGCCCGCCTCAGAGCAGTGCGTGCCCCCCATGCAGGAGACTTCCTCCTGGCAGTACCCATGTCAGCAATGGGCACGCGCCTAGATCCAGAATCCCTTCGTGTAGCAGTGGCCCTCCGCCTTGGTGCCCCAATTCACACTGAATACAAGTGTATTTGCAACTGGGTGGAAGCAGACCAATACGGACTGCATGGGTTGCATTGCGGAAGCACAAAGGGCTGGCATGCAAGACACAATGAGGTCAATGACATCATCAAGAGAAGCCTCGTCTCAGCTGGGTGCCAAGCGGAGAGAGAACCTCGCATCCTAGGGGTCCAAAACCCGGATTTCCCCGCACTTCGCCCTGATGGCATCACCATATACTCATGGAAGGAGGGTAGACAGTTGGTGTGGGACTACACATGTGTATCCACCCTGGCTGACACCTATGTACACTTCGGAGCTGATCAAGCAGGTGGGGCGGCCAACCACAGGGAAACAGCTAAATCACTCAAGTACAGGCGACTGGAAGGTCAATACCTCTTTGTTCCCATAGCGTCTGAGACGCATGGCCCCTGGGGCAAGAGTGCCTTGGGATTTCTCAAGGAATTGGGTTCCAAGCTCATTGACGTCACCAGAGACCCAAGGGCTTCCAGTTTTTTGTTTCAGAGTCTCAGTGTGGCTATCCAGAGGGGAAATGCTTGCTGCGTCCTCGGTTCCTGTCCAGAAGCGGAGGAGCTTCAAGAGATCCATAACCTTTAGGCATTTGTCTTGTATGTTTTGTAACCTTTAAATACACAATGAAGAAAAAAAAAAGGGAAGGGGGTGGTAGGAGAAAAGCACACAGAAACTGTATTGGAGGGGACCTACATTCCCTCCAATGCGTTATGTGTGGTTTCCTCCGAGGCTATGGGTCCCCCTTCTTCCAGCCGGAGGTGGTACTCCCTTTTCTCTCTCTCTCTCTCTCTCTATATATATATATATATATATATATATATATATATATATATATATATATATATATATATATATATATATATATATATATATATATATTATGCTTGCACGGTCGAACTTCAGCTCATAAGCCCCAATTTTTAGCCATCGGTTGGTTAATACCGAAACTTGATTCCATCGGCAATCTTAAATTTTCTTATGAAAGTGATTTTCCATTGACAATGTACCTTTTAGCTCTGTGCTTGGGTTAAGATCTCAGTCATTTGGAAGAATGTTTCATTTCTCATTTTGCAGCTCCTTCACCGGAAATGGTGTTTTGAAGACGGTTGTGAGGCTCGTATGTACCTCATATCCTCATAGCCATTAGGGAATCCATTCTTGACAAGGACCTGTACCTCACTACTGCGTTCCTGGTCCACCTGCTTCCAACCGGAGCTGTATGGTAGAGCTTGGTTGAACCAACCTGGTTGAACCTGGTTACACCTGCGCTGGGGAGACTAGTACACCCTGTATACTTGTCTCAACACTGTAAACAGAGATATGAAATCAAACAATCGTTTCCTTGACTTACAACCAGGAAATGTAGTTTGTTGTCACTCTTCAGTTTAACAAGTTAACCTTTACATTTTTAACAAGTTAAGATCAACAGGGTTATATGTATACTGTGAGGTGTATCCCACTTCTCAGAGTATACTTTTAGGACTCAAGTATATACTTGCTGGTTGTTTAGTAAACTGTTATGGTGGCGTTAACAACCCTCCAGAGATAGGTAGATCTTAAGCCCAGCAAAAATAAACTAATTCGGCTCAAAGTTTGTTCTTAAGCAGTAGCGAGGACATGTTTAGGTGCCTGCATAACACTGTCATCACCTCACCTGACGTAGGTGCCAGGGTTGAGGTTAAAGTCAACGATTACTTCATTCTCCATGCCACCCATTCCAATACTTACCCATTCAATTTGTACCGATTCCAATTCTTACCCATTCCAATACTTACCCATTCCAATACTTACCCATTCCAATACTCACCCAGTCAATTCTTACCCATTCCAATTCTTACCCATTCCAATACTTACCCATTCCAATACTCACCCATTCAATTCTTACTCATTCTAATTCTTACCCATTCCAATACTTACCCATTCCAATACTCACCCATTCAATTCTTACCCAATCCAATTCTTACCCATTCCAATACTTACCCATTCCAATACTTACCCATTCCAATATTCGCCCATTAGAATACTCACCCATTAAAATATTCACCCATTTAATTCTTACCCATTCCAATACTCAACCATTCCAATACTCACCCATTCCAATACACACACATTCTAATACTCACCCATTCCAATACACACCCATTCCAATACTCACCCCATTCCAATGCTCACCCCATTCAAATGCTCACCCCATTCCAATGCTCACCCCATTCCAATACACACCGATTTCAATGTACACCCCATTCCAATGCTCACCCCATTCCAATGCTCACCCCATTCTAATTCTCACCCGATTCCAATACACACCAATTCCAATACTCAACTATTCCACTCACCCATTCCACTCACCCATTCCACTCACCCATTCCACTCACCCATTCCATTCACCCTTTAATCAACGGATACTATTCGGATCTTTTCCACCAATACCAAAATATCCTGTTATTTCCTCTAATTCTTATTAGGGATTGAACTCAGCACTTCTATTCTAACATGCAAATAAAATAATTTAAATTATCTATTTTTTTTTTTTTTTTTTTCAAGAGTACCACCTCTGGCTGGAAGAAGGGGGACCCATAGCCTCGGAGGAAACCACACATAACGCATTGGAGGGAATGTGAGTCCCCTCCAATACAGTTTCTGTGTGCTTTTCTCCTACCACCCCCTTCCCTTTTTTTTCCTTTATTGTGTATTTGAAGGTTACAAAACATACAAGACAAATGCCTAAAGGTTATGGATCTCTTGAAGCTCCTCCGCTTCTGGACAGGAACCGAGGACGCAGCAAGCATTTCCCCTCTGGATCGCGACACTGAGACGCTGAAATAAAAAACTGGAAGCCCTTGGGTCTCTGGTGACGTCAATGAGCTTGGACCCCAATTCCTTGAGAAATCCCAAGGCACTCTTGCCCCAGGGGCCATGCGTCTCAGACGCTATGGGAACAAAGAGGTATTGACCTTCCAGTCGCCTGTACTTGAGTGATTTTGCTGTTTCCCTGTGGTTGGCCGCCCCACCTGCTTGATCAGCTCCGAAGTGTACATAGGTGTCAGCCAGGGTGGA